AGTAATCTAGTAATCCTACCATGCCTACTGTATGTAGCAGCATCATTCGGTATCGTCTTGTCACGATTTGACGACCATTGGCCACTGTCCTGTTCATGGACGGAGTGAACGTGCGTGCAGCAATTATTTCAATCGGGAGCCGGCCGGGCGGGCAAGTTTCTGTCAAGCTGTCCCTGTTGCTACTTGTCTCGCTTGGTCTTTGGGTCCAAGAAAGACGTGCAAGTCCATGGTGAATCTAATCTTGACGTGATGCGCGCTAACAACGCGACAAAAGCAATGAGCGAGAACATTCAAACAGTAACATGCGCACCTGCAGCGTCGGCGAAGTAGCCGTCTCCCCAGGCCTCCGGCGGCGCATCGATGGTTCCGGTGGCCGCCATGAGAGGCAGCACGTACCCGAGCGACGCCATGCAGACGGCCGACACCAGGGCCGCCGGGAACGTCCTCCCGGGCCGGTCCACCTCGCCGGCCATCGTGCTCACGCTGTCCCAGCCGTTCAGGTTCCAGAACAGCGTGTTCAGCAACAGCTTCCAGACCTTATCTCCGGCGGTGGCCCCCCAGCGCAGCGGCCGGACCTTCGGCAGCGCGGCGCCGACCATCAGCAGGAACGGCGACAGCGCCGCGAGGCCCAGCGCCACGGCCGTCCAGCCGACGACGCTCAGCCCCGTGTAGTTCAGCAGCGTCAGGGCGACGTTGAACGTGACGATCGTCGCGACCCTGCCGCCGCCGCGGGACACGGCGGGGGCTACGCGCGTCAGGTAGTCGGGGCACAGCGCCGGGAAGGCCGCGGCGCCGATGGCGCTGCAGACGTACTTCCACGTGCCCATGAGGGACCCCGCGAACGGGCCGAACGCGCGGTCCACCCACACCACGTACCCGCCGTTGCCAGGCATATGGCCGTCGACAGCTCGGCGGTGACGAGAGACTCCGGGACGGCCCAGACGAATGGGAACACCAAGAATCCGATGAGTTCTAGCAGGGGTCCGCCGGCAACCTCGAAGAAGATGAGCAAGATGAGAGGGAAAAGCGTCAGCTTGTTCCGACCCTTGCATGGCCGGTGACGCTGCCGCTGCCGCTGCCAGTGCCAGCCACAACCGTGATTGGGAGGTGGGTTGGATCGCCGCCGGGGACGGTTTCAGATTTGTCCGGAGACGTATTGGATTGGAATGGTGAGGTGTTGTCGCTTCCATGGATTCCCTGCTTCATCGTCGTTGGAAATTCACGGTGGGAGCAGCCCAGCAGGTCTGGTTCTAGTTCCCTGTGCTGTGCCGATGGTTCACTTGCAGAACGCATAGCAAGTGCCCGTACAGCAAGCACATGGCGATTAGTAGGCCTGGCTTTAGTTGTACGTACCACTCAAGTGCCATTTTTTTAATCTTGTGAAATTGTTTAATATGCTGCGAGGTGATTTTATTATATATTAATAAATCAAAAAATGCTCGTTTTGAGCCATGCGTTTAGTCTAAGTTTGTTCTTGTAGACCGAGTTGTGACTTGTGAGTGGACCATCTACATGGCGTCGTCATCAATTTGTGCTTCATGTCACCAACGATGAGCTTCTTGCGACTACTTCCCTAATTCTGATCTAACCCCAACGTAATGGAACAACGGTTTTATATATTCAACTTTTCTATTTGAAACTTTTTGCACTTCAAATTATTTTCATTTGCATCTTTTTTCACTAGAAAGATTTTTTTTTCACTCCAAAGTCTGCATTAAATTTTTTTTGCAAATATATATAAATATTTTGGGTCCGAACTCTTGATGAAACCTTTTTGCTTGAGGCACTCATTTGCACCAATGATTGGATATTAGCATCAAGGAAAGGTAATTGTGGTTGTTATACCTCTCAGTGTTGCATATTTTGTCTTTCCACTTGAGAGATTAGAGCCTGTTTGGATGGACTAGCACTAACAACTAGTCATGTTAGCTCGTGGACTAGTGAACTAACGACTAGTTTCTGACTAGTAAACTAACAATTAATCTACCTGTTTGGATACTTAGAAACTAAAAATTAGTCAATTAGTTGTTAGTTCTATAGATGCAAACAGGGCCTTAGTCGCTACTAATTTTTTTCATGTATTATTTTTTTCCATTCATTCCATATGACACTGATGTTTCTTCAATTCTTGATGATTTAGCTACTTCTAGTATAAATGATAAAATGGAACATAATGAAGGTATGTGGACTTTAACTAGACTTACATGATACTCCCTCTATCCATAAAACAATGCAACTATAGGATATGTGCTAGTCAAACTAGTTTAAGTTTGACTAAATTTATAATAAATAGTATTAACATTTGTGTCTCCAATAAAGTTTATTGTGAAAATGTATTTCATCATTAATCTAATGATACTTATTTTATATCATTAAATATAATAAAATTGGTTTACTTCTCGAAAAGCGAGAATTGCATCCTTTTGTGAACATCGGGAGTGTTTTAGTTTTAGATTCCTAGATTTATTTGTTTATACACATCATTATTTGTGCCTTAGGTGCACCTATTGATGCTGGTGACAACATTTATATGGATCTGGAGGAGGGAAACAATTAGGATAGATTGCCCTTGCATCAAGAGTGTGGACCAGTGTGTTTTCAAATGCTGCAAGACTATTGTGCCTATTCAGCTAGTTAAAAATAATTGAAATCTTGGCATAAAAAAAAGAATTGTGTCAAATCTGATCTGTAATATCTAATATGTGTTACATAAAGAAATTTTATAATATGTGAGCAAGGGGTCCTTGGAACTTTCCTATGATCTCTCAACCTGTTGCGCTTTGGATGGATTTGCACAACTACATAATGATGAATTCTTTTACTCTGCTTCAGTAAGCTTGTAGACAGTTGTTTATTTGCATTTCCATTATTGTTGATAAAAATATTATAGCAGCATTATGTGTACAATGTAATCTTTTGTGGTCTCCTATCATTTTGTGATACTGTCGTTGTTAATCTGTCTCATTTCGTTGCCGGGGAGCACAGGTGTTTGACTCTTTTGCTGCTCTCTGTTAGCACCAGCGGCACTAGTAACAGGAATTGGAGCGAGAAAGGTTGTAGTTGTAGTATACTGGTTCCTTGTTTGATATACTGACATTTCAGTTACCTGGGCCTTGCCCAGCTTGTGCATGCGAGCACCCCAATTCCATTACCACGGTCGCTCGCGCGTCTCCAACTCAGCGAACGATTAGTGGGTCGTGCATTCGGCGAAATGTTGGCCATCGGTGCGTATATAGAGACGGAGCCGATCAAGCAAGCCACGCTCGAGCGAGCCATCCTAGCTAGTACTAACTTATGAGGACGTGTCGTGCATTAATGTATCATATTATGGTTTCTTTTTTTTTTTTTTTTCTTTTCCCTTTATAAAGGGAGAGATTTAGATTTTGCCATTATAATTTTGCAAAGTTAGAGATTTGCCATCGGTATCTCACTTTGAATCAGTGACATGTGGGATAGGATGGCATATCTTCAATTTAGTAAAATTATAATGGCAGTCTTCAAATTTTCTCTTTATACAAGTTATTTCATACACATGTTTCATATTTCTACTAAAATATTATGATATTAATTTGTATATCTAAAGTTCTTGAATATAATTTATACGTCCAACTTTACATTTAAGTCATTCATCAAGTTATATATCTAAGTTATACAAACAAGTTATACATAAAAGTTTTGTGTATATTTTTTTTTAGCTTTTGTAAGAAATTATGTTGATATCTAAGTTATACAAACAAGTTGTACATAAAAGTTCTATATATAACTTTGTTACGGAATAAGTTATACGTATAAATTATGTGCGTAAGTTTACCATGTTAAGGATACATTAAAGTCAGGTAACGTTATAGTGTTATAGTTATATGTATAATTTATATGTTGATATTTGTTTCACAAGTTATATGTAAAAATTATGAGTGTAACTTTGTAACTTTCAAAAACAAAAGTTGCTGGCCTGCCTGATCGTTGATTCGTTGATCCACGCGTACGCAGCCGAGCACGTGAAAAGAGGATTAGCACGCGCGCAGCAACCAACTAAATATGGAAAAGAGGTGGGATTATTTTTTTTCCTAAAAAAGAAGGAGCGGTGTGTCCGAAATTTGTTTGACAGATTCAATACCCAAGAATGTTCGCTAATTAGTCTGGTCGAGCAAGCACGAGTTAAGCCGGAACCTAAGACACGATTGTTGGGCCGCCTCCTCCTGGAACTAGTCCTGGGCCCTCCCTTTTAACTACTGCTACACAGCCTCTAGATCTTCCCAAGTTGCTAGATTTGAAGGCCACCCGAACCACTTGATCAACACTTCATGAACTGCAGACAAGCCGGGATGTACCAAACTTTTTTACAGGACACATTCAGGGATGCGTAAGAGTTCAATGTCGTCAGGGATAGAACCAACCACCTGTTACTGGAACATCCAGTGGCGGAGCCACAAGTTTTTCGGAGCCCGGCGATCCTTATTGCGCAAAAATATTTATCTGGCAAATTATAACATTTTTCTTTGATATATAGAAAATTTTCTTTTAAAGTTTACCGAGGAGCCTGGCCGGCCGTCCGGGCTAGCAGGGCGGTGGCTCCGCCACTGGGAACATCTGAGGCTTCAACCGAGAGACATGGAACACCGGGTGAATGGACGATGAAGAATGAAGCTCCCACTTATAAGCAGGTGTCCCACTTTATCGATAATTTGGTAAGGCCCGAAATATTTGAAAGCGTGGAATACATCCATGTGGCCACAGGTGGACATGTGCCTACCTGTACCTGCAGCGTCGGCGAAGTAGCCGTTCCCCCAGGCCTCCGGTGGCGAGTTGGTAGCAGTGGTGCCCACCATGAGCGGCAGCAGGTACCCGAGCGACGCCATGCGGACGGCCGACAGCAGCGCCGCGGGGAACGTCCTCCCGGGCCGGTCCACCTCGCCGGCCATGGTGCTGACGCTGTCCCAGTAGTTGAGGTTCCAGAACAGCGTGTTGAGGAAGAGCACATGTAAGAATAATAATATGATCTATGGAGGGTTCCAGAACAGCGTGTTGACGAGGGGGAACACCAAGAAGTCGTTCTTTCTGCAAAAACACAAGTGACCCAGCACCGCCGGCTCAGCGCCGTATGGCCCGCCAGCGACCTCGAAGAATATGAGGAAGATTAGAGGGAAAAGCGTCAGCTTGTTCCGGCCCCTTGCTTGAGCGACGGGGCCGCTGCCGGCAGCGGCGATGATTGGGTCGCCGGTGTCGAGGTCTTGGGATTTGGCTGGAGACACGCTAGAGTGAACTGGTGAGGCCTTGTCGCTGCCAGCAGGGGCCCCCTGCGTCGTCGTCATCTTGGCTGCGGCCTGGAGCAGTCCTGGTTCCCTCCCTTCCATCTAGATCTGCAACATGTTCGGTTGGCTCGTGCTTGTCGTAAACGATCGTAAATTTTTAGTTGGAATAGTATTTTTCTCTCACACCAAATCAGTCAGTAGTACTTCTTTACGAACCAGCAACGAACAAGTCCAGCCAAACGAACAGGCTACATATTATTTGCCCTGTTTGTTGATAAGTCATGACACTGTTGACTGATTTATCGTGAGAGAAAAATATTATTCATGAATTGACCGATTATTCTTACATGTGCTGTGCCGGCCAAACTAGATGGGTTGACCCTTTCGCTTTTAAAGAGAATAGAGCGTGTGGCCAAGACGGGCGCACACGGTGTCCACGGTAGCAAAATTATTTTCACTCCTCGGATTCCTGATGAACGGTGCTCCTGTCTCCTCCCGAGCCACTCCGCATGACCAAATATATCTTTGGGTCAAACCCTAGCTCTCTCTCGCGTCGCATCCGCGCCTCCTCCTCTCCCTCCTTTCTCATGGTGGCGGCTGGCTTCCTTGAGCCGGGCACCTCGCCCGGCGAGGCCGAGGCTTTCTCTCTCTCTCGCGTCCGCATCCACGCCTCCTCCCTCTCCCTCCTTTCCCGCAGTGGCCAGCGCTTCTTCAGGCGAGGCCGGCACGGTGCCCAGCCGAGGCCGCCCAGTAGCGCCCGCAACCCAGCGCCCAGGCGCCTTGTGGCGGCGGCCACACCGCGGCTGCACGCCCGACGGGCGGACGCAGGCGGGCGAAGCGCGCCGGCTCCTCCCGATCCCTCCTCCCTCGGAGCTCCGGGCGCGGGTGTGAGGCGAGGGCGCTCCCCGGCGCGGCATGGTGGCGCGGCAGCCCCCCAGCGCAGGTTTCTTCTTCCTCTGGTGATTTTGGGCCGGATATTCATGGATCTGGTGCTTTTGCTTTGAGATTTCTTGATTCCGAATCTGGCTGTGTACAGCACGGCAGCCCCAGCGAGGAAGGCCCTTAGCGCCGGGCGCCTCAGTGCGGCGGCCCGGTGCACGTGGCCCCTGGTGCGGCCGCAGAAGACCCAACAACCATCCGTCACGGTCCGCTGGGGATTCTGTCCTTAACACATAGCAAGGACCCAAGCTTTACAAGCGCACAACCTGTACGTATTTGATTCTTGTTAAATTTTTTTGTGAATCTCGGAGCCGAGTCTAATTATTGCTTTGTGTTCTGTACTAGGCCTGCAATGTGACGGTTTCCTTCAGGGGTTTAGGGTTTCCCAGTAATTGCATTTTGATGTTGCTTTTGCTGTTAATTTTGTCAAGGTGTCCATATAGAATTGTAGAGTAATTAAAAAGGTGCTGCCAGGTATGCATCCTCTGTATATGATCTTTCAACTTTTGCTCTGATCCATTATTTATTTTGCTTCTAGGTTTCTAGCTCAAAGTTAACATTTCCTGAATTATGAACCGTTTGAAATGCCATCAGAGAGTTAATGTTCTGAAAAGGCAGCTTTTAATCATGCTAATAAAGTGTTCTGAAGAAACTATGAATAGTTGGATAAAAATGCTAAATTTATTATGTTGTTAAATTCATGCTAGCTGTGTCATGTTACACCCCTAAACTACCATTTTACAAATGAAAATATTTCAATATTCCATTATACAAATATGATGTACTGAACTTGCATATTATTACAGGATGCTTGGCCTGTAATGGTTTTTGGACAATAATCATGTCTCTATAAATGAATAGATGAGATGTTGATCTCACCTATGTTGCTTGTACCAAAAGTTGGTTTGAGTGCACTGTGATATTAATCCAATCCAAGCAAGTTTGGTGATTCTGATCTTTGATTCAGGTGTGTCGCTAGGCAAGTTGGCGAGCGGTTAGGTGAGGTTGTGTCATAGTCTGTAGGTCAGGGCAGTGGCCGGACATTGGCTGTCCAATTAAAGTTTACATGGATGTTGCAGGCTGAGGCACAGAGAACCCTGACTTGAAGCTTCATCAAATCCATACAGAAGCAATCAAGTTTAGTTCTCTACCTCTATTTATCTCAATCTAACCAAACACAATATCACAGGTGATTCATTTAGGAAAGAAAAATACTTTTGAAGTCATCTATATTTTGCTATGGAAATAAGATCACACAGGATGCTTTTGGACATGTAGTATTACATCCGTCTAGCATGGTAGCATTGGTATTTCAAATCGGAAAAAGTTACTCTTTACAACCTGCATTTATGTCTCAGGCAAATGGCATGACAAGCCGTTGATTTTGCAACCTTCAGGGCAGTAGTAGGTGACTAGCTAGCAATGAGGCGACCTGCCTGGAGCGTTCTGCAGCACAACAATTGTACTTGTCTACTTGAGCATGGCTTGCTAGCGGGGTAATCATTACATGGAGCCACCTCAAAATCAGGGTATTTTGATTTACTATCTTTAATTTCTGAACTATATCTTTGTATTGGCTTCTTTGATTCCTATTGTATGTATGGCTGTCACAGATGATTATAACTTTTTTTGTTTGGTATATGACTTACGCTTTTAGCTAATATATGAACTCTAGCACCGGGTAAATGTATAGCTTTTTCAAGAATTTTGATTGCTACAATGCTATGTTGTTGCACCAATTTTAATTTTAATTATGTGTAAAGTAGCAATTGTCTACAAAGCAGAGAGACTAAGCTGCTATGAAATAGTCGTGCTAAATGCTATTCATAACCATGAGAAACATCTCCAACCCAAATATATGGATAATAGATGTCTTTATACTTGATGCAAAGATAGATATTTATATTTCTTTATTCCATTGCAAGAAGGCTTATAGTTTTGTAATTAGTGCAGGAGATAGTTATTAACGCGTATAGGAAAGGTCTTCTGAAGCAGTCCTGAAAGTGAGCTGCACGTAAGCTCTGGGCCAAGTATGTGTTCCTCTCTGTCTCTTTGCTAATATGATGCCAAGGCAGGAATGGATGGATTCTTTTTTTTGGATGTAAAATCATATATAAGTTTGGTTTTGCCTTCCAAAGATGAAACTGAATTTGACATTGGTATCTGTGATTTATGTTGCTCGTTATTTGGGAAGGCCTAGAATTGAAACACAAATAATGTTCTGGCAGTCCTTTTTTTGTTGTCAACTTCTGATCCAGTCGTTCAGTGATTATCACAAAAGAAGCAAATGGGTACTTGGGTAGCGGTCTATAAAAGAACTTTCTGAATATATGATGAACTATGTAATTTTGGCATTGGATAATCAGTATATGCACATAAAAGAGTGCACATCCTTATATTAATTTTAAAACAATGGCGGGATTGAACTTGATAGTGGCTACTTAATGAATCATGGTTCAGAGTCATCATCATTTGAACGGGAAAAATGGAGGCGCCTTTTAACAGATGCGTGTGACTGATTTTGCGCAGGTAGTAAAAGATGAAAATAGTTTGTCCCAAGTTGATTCTCTACTTGCAGGAGGCCTTTCTCTAGCTGATGTATCAGCAAAACCCTGTACCGTGTATGACTGGGAGTCACCAAAATTATCTAGAATTTTATCAATCAATATTTTCTTCAAAAAGATGCAGGAAAAATTATGTACCATGTCATTTATCCCTTTCTTTCCTAAATCTATGCCTGTACCAAAGGCTCCAACAACATCAAATTATGTTAAAATGCTACTTTGGCTGTCAACCATTGCATTGCCTTCACAGGCAGCAAGTCATGTGGGCTGTTTTACTGCATGGGTATATATATTTTATAGCTTACTGTTAATAACTGTCAAGTAGGTACTCCCAGTTAGTTGACAGCCATGTAACACTTGGGTTGCAGAATGCTCATTGTGTGAGGCGTGCTCTATACTGCCTCTGCTCATGCCTATGTCAACAGTAGAAGAATTATATTGTCCCTTCAATAGAGTGGTTCAGCAACCTCTATATTACTTATATGTCATTGTTGATGTACTATTTACAGGTCATAGTTTGGAGGTCGGGAACAATGCAGCAGCAGAAAAACATGTTGCGAGCACGACTTACACGCTTCCACTTTGGATATTACAAAACTATTTTCATTAAGGTTGATCAGGAGAAGCTCATGGGCGCTACTTAGCTAACCCCAGGTGCTCCTATGACATGTGCTAAGTATTGTGATTTATCTATCGTAATATGGTATGTTCTCACACGCTATGTCTCGTGGATCAAAACTTCTCATGTGCTTTATTGCTCATGTAAAATATATGTAATATTTGAACATATCACATAAACTCGGCTTTGGCTATGTATATATATGCTATATGTTCCACCATCTCGCCTGTATTATTCATGTGTATTATGACATGTAAGATATTTGCAGTAATATTCAATATCTATGCATCCAGTTTAGAGTTTTTGATTTGAGGACCAACCTTATATTCCTTACTCTATTGATCACATGTGTTCGTCATTATCTATTTCAAGGTTCCATTTGACAAATAAAAAGCAAAAAAAGTTATCATGGCCATAAACTCTTTTATGTAGCATCGTATAATACAATCGGGCGCTTATCCACACGAGGATTGCGTCCCTATCTGTATGTATTATTGGCACATCCTATGGAGGATGAACTAATCTCTCGTGTCGAGTAACTGATGGCTAGATATCTTTCAGTCTATTACTACAACGTTATGATCACATTTGTTCTTAGGTCCGTTCTGATTCAGTGATCGTAGGCACTACCGGCCAATGCCCCCGCGCGCATGGGCACGCGCAAAAAGACTAGTTGAAGTGATTTTTAGATGGTGACAGGTTTGTCTTCCTTGACTACTGCGTGAAAATTTGGTTCTACGCCCATCAGCAGGACTACATCAACAAAGTAAGGTGTTGTTTGGATCAAGTGACTAAAATTTAGAAGGTGTATCGAGAGAATGTTACATAGGATGTTTGATACTAATAAAAAAACAAATTACATAATCCATCAGTACTCCACGAGACGAATTTTTAAGCCTAATTAATCCGTCATTAGCACATGTTTACTGTAGCGCACTATTGTCAAATTATGGACTGATTAGGCTTAAAAGATTCGTCTCGTAAATTAGTCACAAACTATGCAATTAGTTTCGTAATTAGTCTATATTTAATACTTTATGCATATGTCCAAACATTCGATGGGACAACGACTAAAATTAGGAGGAGCAACCAAACACCACCTAATCAAAGCGAGAAAAACTGTTACGAACCAATCACATTTCAGATGATCTCGTCACACAGATCGCCAAGGTGGCAGAAGCACAAGATCCATGACGTGGATTAGTCGCGGATAGTTACTAGGTTAGTATTAATCATTCATCTAATTGGGCGATTCCTGCACATCCCCTATATACACTGACAGCCAATTGACGGGTCCGTTTGCGGACGATGACTCCGAACGGATACCGGCCAATTCATTGGTGACGGTTCATCATATATATAAATACAAGATCAATCAATGAAAGCATTCACAGTTCAATCATTTCTTTCTCTCTCGATTACATATTTACATTCACTCAAAAACAAAAACGAACGGATAATTAGCTAGTTCGACTCTTAGTCCCGCCTACTCTACTCTAATTTCAGGAGTTGTTATATTTCAGGTGCCTGAATTTTAAGATAATTTCATATGACAATCTAATACAGTAAACTAGTACAATCAAAAGGGCAATTTACAAGGGAGAACTCACATTTTTTTTCTCTAGTCAAACAATAACCACATTGTAAATTCCCTGAACAGCAATAAAAAATCAGGCACCAAATATAGGAGAAGTGACAAATTAACATTGCTTTCAAGCATACTGTATGTTTTTTTAGGAATTCCGTTATATCAGGCCGGATAAGTCAGCATTTGCACATTTGTATGGTATATATGCAACCGCAACCGCAAACGACATTTTGGGTAGACCCTTTCAATTTTGAGTGATTTTTGGATGGTGACAAGTTTGTTTTCCTTGACTTCTGCGTTAAAAATTGGTTCTACGCCCATCTGCAGGACTGCATCAGCAACAAAATAATCAAAACGAGAAAAAACGAACGGGTAATTAGCCAGTTCGACCCCTTAGTCCACTCCAGTGTCAGTCTACTCCTCTACTCTAATCTCCACTTTATTTATGCTTCATACATGCTGCACCAGTGCTGGGTCACTTGTCTTTTTGCGGAAAGAACGACCTTTACAAATTAACGTTGTTTTCAACCGCTTACTGTATGTTGTTTTTAAGGAACTTTGTTATTATATAATAGCATGCCAAATAAGTAGCATTAGCACATTACTAGTATGGTACGTGCATGCAATCGCAAATGGCACACCAATTCAACATCCAACCAAACAATTACGTCAGGCTTGAGCTCTGCTCTACAGAGGGGGTTAGGCTTTCAACTTGAATTATGGTGCGCCATCTTAGAAAAAAAAACTCAACCCGCGGGATTAAGACAGCCTCGGACATTATGCTTAAGAAGAAGATCTTCTCACGTAGGTTGAGAAAACTCCCGAACCTCTGCCCCACCCAAACACAGCGGCACCATAGCTCCCGTGAGACTGGGGCCTTAGACATGTGCTTTGGTATGGGGCGGACAAGTTGATTTTTTTCAAGGTGTAAATAAACCGTGCCTCCACCTACCAACAAATCTGCCCAGGGGGGTTCAAACTCTAGCCGGCATGATGCAAAGCGCACACCCAGACCAAGTGGTCTTGCGTTTGCTTGCTGTTGCGCCATCTTGTATTATCTCATTTCAGTTTATGCAAATGTGGTCTAATAGAACTGGTCGCTGCAACAAAATATTTCATTTCACAAAGAAAAAAAAAAGAAGGCTGTGTGATAGTCACGTGGTAGTGTAGCATATCCGGAAAATAACATTAAAACATACAGGTCTTATTAGATCTTCTGTGATTCTGTGAATATTTGCAGTGAAGTCAATTGCGCAATTAAATGATCTCAATCCAATCCATATCCACCGCGTCATGACTCATGCATGCTATGCTGCCCTGTCAAGCACGTCTGATCATGAAACAGAAATCCTTGGGTTGGTTCTCTGATCTAAAGTGACTATACAGTTTGTGCAAGCAAGCAGAGGTTAGCAAAAGCAGTGGAACAAGAAACACCGATTCCTTCCCATAACAATCAACTATGCCATTTGCCATTACACTAATTGGAAACACTAGTACCCTACAAATTCGTATAGCACTTTCGCACAAGAGCACCACGGGCTCCACTTCTGACTGTCTTTGATTGATGTCGTTAGAGTCTACTATCATTCAGACATCGCCGGCGTTGCTGCCGTCCTGCTGGTACACGGCCGCCGTCCCATGGTCGCTGCCGTCGCTGAACCTGAGGCAGCCCCTAGCCTTACAGAACCGCATGAGGTAGTACACAGCCACCCCCGTGGCCGTGAAGGCAGCGCTGATGGCGTACACCTTCCAGCCGGCGATGGCCATGACGAAGACGAGGAACGCGGAGGGGACGAGGCAGAGCACGACGGCGGCCGGCAGGCGGGCCGGGACGCGGTACGGGCGCGTCAGGCCGGGCTGCTTGACGCGGAGCCAGACGAAGGCGGCGAACTCGAGGAGCATGCCCAGGCTGTAGAGGAAGTTGGCGGCGGCCACGATGCTGTCGAAGCTGAGGAAGGACATGCCCAGCGTGATGGCGGCGGTGGCCACGATGCTGACCCATGGCGTGCGGAAGACAGGAGCGCGCGCCGCGAAGATGCGCGGGAGCAGGCCCAGGTCCGCCATCCCCAGCAGCTGGAACGCCGCGCTGCTCAGCGTCGCCGAGTAGAGGCCGATGGAGGACAGCACCGCGCCCACCTCGATCCAGTACTTGAGCCAGTTGCCGGCGATCATGCCTGCGTTGTTAACGTTGCGGCGAGTGAGGTGAGCTTTACTTTACACAGAGCCAATGCATGGTTGTACACTTGGGCCTCGTTTAGATCGTAAATTTTTGCAATCCGGATACTGTAGCACGTTTTGTTTGTATTTGACAAACTTTGTCCGATCATAGACTAACTAGGCTCAAAAGATTCGTCTCGTGATTTACAACCAAACTGTACAATTAATTATTTTTTTACCTACATTTAATGCTTCATGCATGTATTCAAAAATTGATGTGATGAAGAGAGAGTGAAAAAACTTGGAATTTTGATGGGATCTAAACAAGGCCTTGTAGAAATAAATGGCAGGAATCACCAAATTCTGTCGTGTGCATGGTTTCAGCTTAGTTTCCAATCGAGACTAAACACAAATAAACATGATCGGTGTTTGTTAGCTTTTCCCTATTTTTAGCCCGAACAGAAATCTCTTTGAGAATATCTGGCAGTTGTAGTACTACTAATATCTTTGATGTTTGTTAGCTATACTATATTATAATAATTAAGGCCCCTTGTCTTGTACTAAATCCGTTTCAAGTTATAATTCGTTTGACTTTTTTTATCTTAAACTTGACCACTCGTCTTATTCAAAAATTTATGTAAAATATCACTTCTTTTGTTGTGGTTTATTTTATTAACAAAAGTTCTTCAAAAATAATTTAAATTGAACATGTTGGTATATTTTTTTTTAAATAAGACAAATGATTAAATTTAGAATAAAAAAATCAAACGAACTCTAGTTTGAAACGGAGGGAGTAGTATGTATCATAGTTGTACTTTATTGACCAATTGGTCTAGTTTGAAACGGAGTTTGAAACGGAGGGAGTAGTATCTATCATAGTTGTACTTTATTGGCCAATTGGCCAGACAATCCCAGCTAGTCCTCTCAAAAAATTGGAATATTTACGTGGTGGACAATGCTAGTAGCCGTATTCGATTTGATTCTTTCTGCAACAGGTAAGGTAGCCTCCTGTGCCCGCCAACGCCGACTATTCATGTGTCACATGGCAACTTGACTAAAATCATCGTGATGTCCACTCATGTGAGAATGAGTTTGAATTGAATAGAAAAGTGAAGGATATATTTTTTTTTAGTATCTCGAGGGCCGAGGAGTCTCGGCACTCTGCGACGCGATCAGGATTGATTGGAATTAAGGGTTGGGACAGGATCCACGCACGCACCTGCGGCGTCGGCGAAGAACCCGTTCCCCCAGCTGTCGGGCGCGACGTCGAGGGCGCCGGTGGCCGCCAAGAGCGGCAGCAGGTACCCGAGCGAGGTCATGGAGACGGCGGACACGAGCGCCTTGGGGAGCGTCTTCCCGGGGCGGTCCACCTCGCCGGCCATGGTGCTGACGCTGTCCCAGTAGTTGAGGTTCCAGAAGAGCGTGTTGAAGAAGAGCTTCCAGTCCCTCTCGCCCGCGACGACGCGCCACCGCCGCGGCCGGATCTTGGGCAGCGCGGCTCCCGACATGACCAGGAACGGCGACAGCGACGCGACGCCGAGCCCCACCGCGGACCAGCCCACGACGGTGAGCCCCGTGTAGTTGACGAACGTGAGCGCGACGTTGAAGGCGACGATGGTGGCGACGCGGGCGCGGCCCCCCGACACGGCGGGCGCGACGCGCGCCAGGTAGTCGGCGCACAGCGCCGGGAACGCGGCGCCGTTGATGGCGGCGGACACGTACTTCCAGGTGCCCATGAGGGAGCCCGGCAGGGCGCCGAAGGCTCGGTCGGCCCACAGCACGTACCCGCCGTTGCCCGGCATGGCGGTGGAGAGCTCCGCGGTCACCAGCGCCTCCGGGATGGCCCAGATGAAGGGGAAGATGAGGAAGCCGAGCAGCGCGTACAGCGGGCCCGCCGCCTGCACCGCCGGCTCCGCGCCGTAGGGGCCCCCCGCGACCTCGAAGAAGATGAGGAAGATGAGCGGCACCAGGGACAGCTTGCGGCCGCCGCCGGACCCGGACCCATGGCCGCCGCCTCCGTCCGCCGCCAAGGCGTCAGCGGCGGCGTTCTTCTCCTCGGCGTCCCCCTCGACTCCGACTCCGACTCCAAGATGGGCGTCGCCAGTCATGCCGTTGCCGATCGTGAGGCCAGGCGAGGAGGGGTGCGCAGGGGCAGTGCGGCAACTAACCGTGAACGCGATTGAACTGAAAAGGCTACGTGCGGGTGCGGTGCGCGCCCCGCGGAGTCCGGAGGGAGAGGAACTTGTGTTGTGACTTCTGGTAGGAGTCCTCTGTACTCCGTCCCCAAACGCTGCGTTTTGCAGGCATTTTATTCGCGCAAGCTGCTCTTGTCAGTCGACCACATTGGTGGTCCTTGTGAATCTAAAACCCTTTGGACATATATATTTCCTCTCGCCACAAATGTAAATCTTTTATTTACTGCGTAGCAAATATCAATAAAAATATTTTATTTAAAATAAAAAAGTAAAATATTATGAATTGTTAATATGAATCTCATGTCGTCAGCTTATACAAAATCTTAGATGTTCATTGTCATCAAATCTATCAATGCATGTCGGATAAATCTAGATGACTTTATATATATTTATTAAAACCAAAATAAATACTGTGTTTGGACTCCAACTGACGTGAATCTTAACCATAGATGGCCACCGGAATCGCTTTCACAGTTGCACGGGCATGTTCGCTTGAACTACTTTTCAGTCACGTCAACCTATCTTAACTTATTCTTTCAAACACTATTAAATCTGCCGAAACCAACCAGCTTAACGACCAGCCGAACAATAAGGCAATTGCAAGCGGAGAAGATGGGATTCCCGCGGATGTTGCCTGCGGCCTGCCCACACACCTCGGGATTCTGCCACACCGTATCATTTTTTCCAACCTCACTGAAGCGACCTGATTTCCGTGAAGGGAAATCCACAGAGTCGAAGTGTAATAAGACCGTTGTAGATCATATTACCCAAATTCTAGTCGAATATCACATCCATACAACGATAATATCAGAGTATAAATAGTGTGGAATTACATAAATTATTACATCGCCTCATTGGCGGAATCAAGAGTAGTATTCATTCAGAACAGCTTTAAGATAAGATCGCCAAACTCGAGCGTAGGAACGAACCCCTCAACCGTCAAACTCCTCGGAGCTATACTCCTCAGCAGAACCTGTGTGCCAAAATTTATCAGTACGATTTGTACTGGGCACTCCCACCCTATGAGCATTGCTTTGTGGAAATTGGATGCAAGTTAGATATAATCAAAAGGAACCTATAAGACTGGAATTTCCTATATATTAGCTAGTCAAGTACATAATAATAGTTGGTCAAGTTTTAACACCATTCCCACACCTATTCCTCCCCATTTCCATTCAGAACCAGGTTTCGATCCTGGGATCGATACACCACCATCTCCACTCCATCACCATACCACTCCCATACCATCACTCAGTCGACAGGCCAACTCACTCTCGGCACTGTCTGAAGGCTCGTAGCCCCTGGCTACGTCCGAACACTCACTCTCGGGAGAGAAGAGAATGACTTATCTCACTATCTAGTTTAAGTGAAACCCAGGAAAGGTCCATGCCGACAAGTCGGCATATGTATCGATCGATCAACCATACACTCTGCAGAGGTTTTACATAACCATAAGATCCGCCTTCCTCGCTGACCGTCGTCAACTGGGCTGATTCCGGCCGCTTGCTAGCCTAAGATAATGCCACTCTACTATTCAGCCCTGGTACACCCTAAGTCCAGTCTGGGGTGGCTGAAACTGTAAGTCATGAACCGGGTCCACAAGATCTCCATGAAGTCTCGGAAGGGTGTGGGGGAAATCCTCCGCGCCCCGTACCTTCTTACACTGTCCGCTATCAACCTAGCAGTAGTGGCAATATCCTACCAAGTAGTCCGGCCGTCCCGCACCATATAGGACGAGTGATACGTAAGGCTTCCCGGTGAATCTGAGTACTAGTAAGTCCTTAGGGATGACCAAGCCAGAATGTCTTCATCAGGGTTTTCATTTACCGTGCCACCACAGCACCTCCACCCTGGGCTCCTCCATCACAGGTTCACACCTAGGGCCACCTCATATACCATTTACCCACCACAGGTATCCATTCCAGGGGTGCCCAGGTAGCACCCCACGACAAGACTTGCCCCAAGCTCGTCGTATACTCCAACTTGGTTGACACAACCCTCACCCTCCACACACCCAAGTCACGCACACAGCACTCTCCCCATAGTCCAGATAACACCAGTTTCCACCACGCATCAATATAGTGCAAGCGTAGTAGAAGTAATAAGCAATGAAATATAGTAGCAAGCGTGTGACTAGCCTAACAGCAGGGTGAGCAGGGGTAAGGTTGCGTCAAGGTAAAGGCCATTAAGAAAGCATACTACCATGCAAGTCCTATCATAGTGTGATTATAACAATGAAGTAAAGCACTAGCATTTCTATCTTAGCCATGCGTAATAGGTGCCACGAGATTGGGTGGGATGTGGCACCTTCAGTGTAGTCGTCTCCGTACTCCTCACGGTACTCACGATCCTCGTCCGTCCGGTTCTTCTCCGAGTCTACAAACGATCGTATTATAGTCGCGTTAGCGACGTCTATAGAATAGCACAAAAAAACAATGAAAATTCAAAAGAGCCAAATGCACTCAAACATGGGTTCATTGCGTAGAGCTTGATTTTAGATGATTTTTGGTCCTGGTTTCGTATTTTTCTGAGGTAATATGAATTAGTTATAAATTTCCAAAGTTTAAATCATTTCTGAAAATGGAAAAAGGCTGAATTAATCCTGGGCTGACACGTGTCATGCTGTGACTGGTCCACGTGGCATGCTGACGTTAGCATCTCGGTTCCGAGCTGATAGGTGGGGTCCAGCTGACGTCAGCATGACGTCAGCAACGTCATCAGTTCTGACAGGTGGGTCCAGGGGCTCTTGGGCCACTGACATGTGGGCCCGGTCAAAGTCAACGTCAATCAATGGTGAGTCAACGGTCAACGGTCAATGGTCAGGGTCACTAACATGTGGGGCCAGGGCTGCTGATGTCATCGTGACATCAGCATGACGTCACCTTGGCTGTGTTGGCTTTGACGTGTGGGTCCCGTGTGACGTCAGCATCTGTCATGTGGGTCCATAGTGTTCATGCCACTTACATGTGTTGACCGGTCAACGGTCAACATGGGTCGGGTCTCAAACGGGCTTTGGTGGGCTCGGGTTGGGCCGGTCTGGGCCGGGCTGACCTAGACACGTGGCAGGCTATGACGCAGCCACGTCACAACCTTGGGCCTCCACTGGGCTGTGGTCTTCGGCTGTGGGCGTGTGCGTGGCTCACGGTGGACCAAGAGGCGTTGGTCCATGGACCGTAGACAGGTCTACGGTGGACCGAGTCCACCCTTCTTCTCTCAGGCGCGGTCCATGTGCACCGGGTGCATGCGCGGGTGGTCGGCGAGGGGAGTTTCCCCTGTTTCCTCCCCGGCATGTTCCCGCCGGCGGCGAGCCTCATCGGCGAGCCTTGCCGTAGGCGCTGGTGTCCAATTGAGGAGGGGAAAAGCTTCCCTAGGTCACGGCGATCATGATGCCGGGGTCTAAGTGGTGGCCGGGGCCTTCTAGGGCGTTGGCCACGGCGGCTGGTGGCTCGGCGTGGCAGCGCTCGTCGGTGTGGCATGGTCAGGCTGTGGTGGTGGCCAAGAGCATGTTTGGCGGGGCGCGTGAGTTTCCCGTGGCTCCAGCGAACAGGGCGGGCGAGTCAAGGAGGCGCTAGGCGCTCCCAGCGGTACTAGCCACGGTGGTCTGGTGCTCTGGTCGGTGGTGGAGGTGCTCTGGCCGGTGGTCTGGTGCTCTGGCCAAGGGGATGCGGCTGACTATCGTCGACTTGGTCTATGCGGCTATCTTCCGGTCATCACGGTGATGCTCTACGGCTACATTCTAGTCTAGCGAGGTGGTCGGGTGCGCCGGTGGTGGCTGTGCCATGGCGGTGGCGTCATGAGCGTGGCGTGCGTGTGCTCGGCTACGGCGTCCATGGGGCTAGGAGGGGTCTCAGCAGTGAGAGGCTCACTGTAGGTGTCGTAGATGATAGGATGGTGGTGCGGTGGTGGGTCATGGCCGTGTAGCACCGGAGGCAGTGCAGTGGAGTGTCGCCCGCTCCGGCTTCGATGATCTCCTAGTCCTCCTCCTGGCAGCGGCTCCGCCCTCTTTGTTCTTCTCCTCCCCTCTGCCCTCGTGCTGGGTGGTCTGGTGGATGGCCACAAGTGGCGGCGGGGCGATGGAAGGGCGCTAGGGGCTCCCGGGCCAAGGCTTTTGTAGTCGGAGCTTCGGCCACGGCATGGACGAGCGGCTGGAGATGGCCAGGTGCGCACGGAGGGCTGTGATCGCATCGAGGCTAGGGCTATGGGGTCACGACGCGATCGTGGGTGAGATGGCAAAATCGAATCCGCGCTCTATGGTCGAGAAGGTGGGGGACAGGGAGGGGGCAAGAGCATGGCTCGGCCATGGCCATGGCAGGCGCGCGGCAGTGGTCATGCATTGTGTGTGACCCTGTCGGGCAGCCGGTGCCTGCGTGGCACCCATCCAACGGCTTCGCAGTCGGTTGTGAGGCACGGACAACGGAGAAGGGCTGAGGTGGCGTCTGATTCCCTCCCACGGCATCTGCGTTCTGTTTTTGCCGAAAACAGAGGAGGGGACCAAGGAAGGGGATGACGCCGGGGGTCCACTCGTCAGCCAGCGTGGGGAGAAGGCGACGGCGTGATGGCGTGCGGCTGGCTGCGTGGGCCGCGCGCAGTTGGGCCTGGCCTGCTGGTGGCTGCGTGGGCCAGCGAAGCCGGTGACGGCGAGCTGGGCCGGCTGGTGGTAGAAGGCAGGCTGGGCCGACTGGGCTAGTTTAGCTTTTTCTTTTTCTATTTTGTTTTTCTTCTTCTTTATTTTGAATTCAAATTTGGTTTTGAAATTTGAATTCCAATTTGGTGCACCTTATTCATTGGAGTTTTTAGATATGAGGCCCACAACATTCTTATATAAATATTAGGAATTTATTTAGCTATTTTGTATAACAAAAATAGGTGTGGTTTTGTTATACAAAGATAGAATTAGTTTTTCTCTTTAAACC